GCTTCCATGCCTTGCTCGCCGGCGGACCTCCGTGAGATCGTGCGCGCGCTGGGCCCCGACGAGGGACTGGGAAACCTCACCGTGGGCGAGCTGAAGGCAGCGGAGGGGAGTGGAGGGATACGGTAGAGGGAGAGGGTGGGAGTGGGAGGAAGAAGGGGGAAAGGGAGGGGCCGAGTGGGCCTGGAAGCGAAGGGGCCGCTTGTTACACATTTCGGACGACGTCCGCTTGCGTACTAGAAGCGAAAGACCACAGCATTTGCAGCTGCATGCGTTGTGATGTGCACCTGCTGGAGAGGTGTGCCGAAATGGGCCGCGCGCGAACATGCCTTGGGGCCTAAGCTGGGGCATGCTCTGGGGTACGGCACGTGTGATGGGGGGTGTCGGAGTGGACGCGTCGACTCGATGCGAACACCTCGTTGGGGGCCGTCTCAGGTGTCCATACGGGGCCCTATCTACACGTGTGATGGGAGTGCCGAAGTGGGCGTGGCGAGTGCATGCGCGCCGCCCAACTGGGGCCGCAATTGGGGGTTATACGTGGTGAGTCGCGCGCGAGTGGTGTGCTCAGTTGACTGCGCCGACTGCGTGCTGGCCCGCGCTCCCCTCGAGGCCGTGGCTGATCGCCCCCTTTTGGGCACGAAGCGTGGGAGGAGGAGGAGGAGGAGGAGGAGGAGGAGGAGGAGGAGGAGGAGGAGGAGGAGGAGGAGGAGGAGGAGGGAGGAGGAGGAGGAGGAGGAGGGGTGCGTCGACAGGTGCGTGCCAGCTGCACACGCGCACCCCCGGTGGGGCCGTGCAGTTGGACCCCCTCTGGGAGGCACGAGGCGTGCGAGGGGTGCGTAGCATTTGGCACGCTGGCTGCGCGTGCGCGCCCTCGCTGGGGCCGTAACTGGGCCCCTCACCGTGGGGCTGTGACGGCGGTGTCGAATTGGGCGCACGGATGGCTTGCGCGGATCCCTTATAGGGCGCGAGATGTTCCAGGAGTGTACCACAATGGACGCAGTGCATCATCACCATCAGGGGCAGCAGTAACAACAGCAGCGGCTGGCAGCGGCAGCAGCAGCAGCGTCAGCACCGACAGGGTAACAACAGCGGCAGTAGGCAGTATGCAGCGACAGGCAGCAAGGGAGCAGGAGTATGACACGAAAGTCCAGGGTGCATTAACGATGCTGCAATACACCATCCCGTTCCAACTTCCATCCTCATAAGTCCTTGCAGGCGCTTCTTTTTCACAGCACAAAGCGCCGCCTTGAAATACAATAATACAGCGGGCCTGACATTCGGGCGACAGTGACGTTTCGAAACTACCTGGGCGAATGATCCAACCATATACAGTTGTGAGTACCGTAGTTGTGACTATCGTCTTCGGCGAAGCTACCTATGGGTACACGAAGCGTGTGAGTGGTGTGCCGAAGTGGGCGGTGGAACCGCACACGAACCCTACCACTGCGGCCTTCGGTGGAACCCCCGACGGGGCCACGAACCGCTTGAGAGATGCGCCGAATTGGGGGTGGAATCGCGCGCGTACCCTGTCACTGCGGCCTTTGGCGGAGCTCCCCATGGGGGCACGAAACGTATGAGGGGTGTGCCGAAACGCGGGTGGAACCGCATGCGAACCCTGCCACTGGGACCTTTGGTGGAGCTCCCTATGGGGCTATGAAGCGTGTGAGGGGTGTGACGAACTGGTGGTGGAGCCGGATGCGTCCGCTGCCACTGGGGCCTTCGGTGGAGCTCCCTATGGGGCCACGAAGTATATGAAGCGTGTGCCGACACGGGCGTGGAGCTGCATGCGAACCTTGCCACAAGCCTTCGGTGGAGCTTCTTGTGGGGCCACGAGACGTGTGAGGGGTGTGCCGACATGGGAGCGGAACCGCAAGCGAACCCTGCTACGTGGAGCGCCATGTTGGACCACGGCACGTATGAGGGGTGCGCCGAAAAGGTGGTGGAAACACATGCAAAACCTGCCACTGCGGTCCTCGGTGGAGCTCCCTATGGGGCCACGGCACGTGTGAGGGATGCGCCGAAATGAGGGTGGTACCGACTGCGAACCCTGCCACTGGGGCCCTCGGTAGAGCTCCTTATTGTGCCATGAAACGTGTGAGGGGTGCGCCGAAGAGGGGGTGGAACCGCATGCGAACCCTGCTAATGCGGCCTTCGGTGAAGCTTCCTATGGGGCCACGCACGTGTCAGGGGTCTGCCGAAATGGTGGTGGAACCAAATGCGAGCCCTGCAACTGCGGCCTCCGGTGGGGCACTCCATGGGGCCACGAAACGTGTGAGGGGTGCGCCGAACTGGGGGTGGTTCCACGCGAACCCTGCCATTGGGGCCTTCCGTGGAGCTCTTCAAGGGGCCACGAAGCGTGTGAGGGGTGTCCCGACATGGACATGTGGATGGCAGAGGCACGGATGTTGGGAGGAAGGAGGTGGAGGAGGAGAGGAGGAGGGGACGCGGGGCACTGTCTATTGAAAACGAGGACCCAACCCCACAGGATGGTTTGGGACTAAATGACTTGCATCCTTCCAGCGCGCTACAAGAAATTCGACAGAAAGGTCATGTCACTTCAACGGGGTGTCCAGCAATATTCGCTTGTTGACAAGGAGCCGCACCCATCCGTGTAGCTGTTGTGCAAGTCTACATTTTTGGCAATGAAGTGTGCCGATGTTTCAAGCGAGATCACCATTTTGAACATGATTCGCACTCCACCTCTGCAGTGGTTACGAACATACTTTGAAACCTCGAGCATTTGACCCACGAGACATTTTAAAGATGTGTCGTCCTCCATATTCATGGCTTCGTGGACAGGTTCAGACAACTGTGCACGGCGCCATGGCGAGCCCCATTTTGCGAAGATGTTAGCATCCTTCCCTATAAAGGGTTGTAAGCTTCTAGGACGAATGTGCACGGCCTTATGACGATAACCGTATTTTGAAAATGACCAGCCCCACACCCGTGTAGTTGTTGCAAGCTGTTTAGCTTTGTGATCGCCTTGCATACGGACACGTCTGGTGGTGCGGGTCGGGTTATCTAGAAGGGAAGGGATCATGAGCCGAGGACAAGACGAGGGGGACGCGGATATTGAGGAATCAGATGATGATGCTGATGATGGTGATGATGATGCTGATGATGCTGATGATGATGAGGATGATGAGGATGATGATGATGATGATGCTTGTGATGATGTTGTTGATGATGATGCTATTGATCATGATGATGCTGATGCTGATGATGATATTGCCGTTGCTGATGCTGCTGATGATGATGCTGCTGATGATGATTATGATGATGATGATGATGATGATGATGATGATGCTGCTGCTGCTGATGATGATGATGATGATGATGATGATGAGGAGGAGGAGGAGGAGGAGGAGGAGGAGGAGGGGGAAAGCACTAGGAAGACGAGGGGTGATGGATAAGGGATAGGGAGGCGAGATGATGGCCGAGAGAGGAAGGAAGAACGGGAGAAGGGGGAGGCTGAGGAGGATGATGAGGATGAGGATAAGGATGAGGACGAGGATGAGGATGAGGATGCTGCTGCTGCTGATGATGATGATGCTGCTGATGATGATGTTGCTGTTGATGATGATGCTGATGCTGCGGCTGATGATGATGCTGATGATGATGCTGGATGATGATGATGCTGCTGATGCTGCTGCTGATGATGATGAGGATGAGGAGGATGAGGAGGAGAATGAAACGGCGTTGGAAGGGGAGGAGGATGATGAGGAGGATGAGGAGGAAGAGGAGGATGAGGAGGAGGAGGAGGAGGATTAGGAGGATAAGGAGGATGAGGAAGAGGGCGGAGGGGTGCGGGATGAGGAAGAAGAGAGGAGGGGGGACGGCGGATTGGACAGCATGCACGGAGAAAGGAAGGTATGAGGAGAAGTGGAAGCAGGGAAAGATGTAAGCGGGGAAGGATGCCAGGATAATGATGCTGCTGATGATCATTATGATGATGACGATGATGATGATGATGATGACGATGATGATGATGATGATGGTGATGATGATGATGATGCTGATGCTGATGATGATGCTGATGGTGGTGGCGATGGTGGTGGTAGTGGTGATGATGATGGTGATGGTGGTGCTGATGATGGTGGTGGTGATGATGATGATGATGATGATGATGATGACGACACCGACGCCGCCGACGACGACGAGGACGACGATGATTCTGATGATGATGCTGCTGCTGATGCTGCTGCTCTTGACATGATGATGCTGCTGATGATGATGGTGAGGAGGATGATGCTGCTGCTGATGATGATGACGATGATGGTGATGGTGATGATGATGCTGATGTTGATGATGATGGTGATGGTGAGGATGATGATGATGCTTATGATGATGATGATGATGATGATGATGATGATGATGATGATGATGATGATGATGATGATGAGGACGATGATGTGGCTGCTACTGCTGCTGGTGATGATGCTGCTGCTGCTGATGATGATGATGATGATGATGATGATGCTGATGCTGATGCTGATGATGACGATGTTGCTGATGATGATGCTGAAAAGGATGATGATGCTGCTGATGATGATGATGCTGCTGCTGATTATGATGATGATGATGATGATGATGATGATGATGATGATGATGGTGGTGGTGGTGGTGGTGGTGGTGGTGGTGATGATGATGCTGCTTCTGATGATGATGCTGATGATGATGATGATTCCCCAATCAGAACTTACCTCCGTAGGAGTCCTAGCTGATTCATATTGTTATGCGAGGTTTGTCACCGATTTCCGCGGCCCAACCGGGTGCCCAGGTGCCCGTGTGCCCGGGAGCCGGGGTGCCTGGGTGCCCGTGTGCCCAGGTGCCCAGGTGCCCGGGTGCCAGGGTGCCGTATAGCTTTATAGCCCTATAGCCTTATAGTTTTATAGTTCCATAGCCCAATAGCCCTATAGCCCTACAGCCCCATAGCCCCACAGCCCTATATCCCTATAGCCCTATATCCCCATGGTCCTATAGCCCTATAGTCCCATAGTCCTATAGCTCTATAGCCCTGGAGCCCTATAACTCTATAGCCCTATAGCCCTATAGCCCTATAGCCCTATAGCCCTACAGCCCTATAGCCCTAGAGCCCAATAGCCCTATAGCCCCATAGCCCTATAGCCCTATAGCCCTATAGCCCAATAGCCCAATAACCCTATAGCTCTATGCCTATAGCCCTATAGCCCTATAGCCCCAAAGCCCTACATCCCTATAGCCCTATGGCCCTATGGTCCTATCGCCCTATAGCCCTATAGCCCTATAGACTAGTCCTGTGGCCCTATAGCCCTATGGCCCTATAGCCCCGGAGCCTCATAGCCCCATAGTCCTTTGGCCCTACAGCCCTATAGCCCTATGGCCCTATAGCCCTATAGCCAATATAGCCCTTTAGCCCTATAGCCCTGTAGACCTATAGCCTTATAGTTCCATAGCCCTATAACACCATGGCTCTATAGCCCAATAACCCTATAGCCCTAACAAGACTTTGGTTTGAATTTTTCTCCAACATTATGATGATATTGTTGATGCTGATGATGATATTGGTGATGATGATGCTGCTGCTGCTGATAATGATAATGATAATGATGATGATGATGATGATGATGATGATGATGATGATGATGATGATGATGATGATGATGATGATGATGATGATGATGATGATGATGTGGATGATGCTTGAGGACGAGGAGGAGGAGGAGAGAGGAGGAGTGAGGAGGAGGAGGAGGAGGAGGAACACTCCCCCCTGCAGGGGCCTCGGGTTTTTTTACTCAGGATGTTGCTCGGCCAATTGGCCGTCGCAGGGATTCGATATAGTCTGAGCGGGCAGGCCTTCCGTTTTGGAACTTGAGGTCCGCCCCAGCGTTTCCGATCCGATTCGATCCGATCCTCTTTCTTCTTGCCAAAAAGAGGATTCAGCAACTCATCCGCACCAGAGTGCAACTGTATTTTCTTTTCGGCCACTTCATATATATATATACACAGATATGTATATGAACTTGCCCCTGGTTCTCCAGGTGTTCCCCGCCGCTCTGCAGAATGCCCACCCTTGCAAGGGCGCGCCTGGCGCGTCGTCTGACCTCCTCCTTCGTCCGCCCCCCTCTTGGCGAGCGCGCTCCTGCTGCCAATCGCCGCGGCCTCCTCAGGCGCACTGCGTCCGGCTCGGCCTCAAGCGGAGCGGTGGCAAGCGCGAGCTCATCAAGCAGATCGCGGAGCACGTTGAGGCGGCCAGGCGGGAGCCCGGCTGCGCCCCGCCATGCAAGGCGGCCAGGCTAGAGCCCGCTGCCGCCCCCCAGGCGCCGACGGCGCCGACGACGCGGCGCCGATGGCGCCGACGCCGACGACGTCGGCGATGGCGACGGCCACGCCGGCAGCGACGGCCACGACGACGATGACGGCGACGGCCACGACGACGTACTCACGGAGGCCACGACGACGGCGACAGTGCCCAATTTGGTCCTCGCTGTGCTCGTTGTCTTCGTCGTCTCTGGCGCCGTCGTGGCCTTCCTGCTCTGGAGGTCTCCAGAGGTCTCCGGAGCCTTCGGAGTTCTCTCCACACGCCCGCTAGAGGTTTTTGGAGGCTTTTGGAGGACGCCCAGATTCACGAATATGGTCGAGAACTTCCAAAAGCATTGACCATCGATTCTCGAATATCGACTCCACTTCGTAGAAGCAGGGGTGAGGAGGAGGAGGAGGAGGAGGAGGAGGAGGAGGAGGAGGAGGGGGAGGGAGGAGCGGGAGGAGGGAGGAGGAGGAGGAGGGGGAGGAAGGGTAGAGGAGGAGGAGGAGGAGGAGGAGGAGGGAGGAGGAGGAGGAGGAGGCGGAGGAGGAGGAGGAGGAGGAGGGGAGGAGGAGGAGCTAAGAGGAGGAGAAGGATGGGCCTGCCAGCGCCACCGCCACGCGAGGCGGCCAGGCGACAGCTCGCTGCCACTACCGAGGACCCGCTGGCAGTGGGGGGCCCAGAGCGGCAGCGACGTGCGCCCGAGCAAGTGGAGCCTCTCACCGTCTTGTCGTCTTGTCTCGTCGGTCTGTCGCCTCCTCTCTCGTTTCCTGTCCTCCCGCTTTGTCGTTTCTGCGCTTTGGGGTCGTCGTTGCTTCCCCCTCGGCCTCGTCTTCCTCCTCTTCTCCCTCGCTCCCTCGTCGCCCTCCCAAAAAAAAACGAGATCCGTCGTAACGCTCGGCGGGTGGAAAAAATGGAGCCGCTCACCGCCAAGCGGGCAATGACCAGGGAAGTGTGGCATGCGTGGAGGGGGTTGAAGGTCGAGGATGGGGCTTTCGGGCGTTTCTTTTCTGTTTGTTTGTTTGTTTGTTTGTTTGTTTGTTTGATTGATTGATTGATTGATTGATTGATGGATTGATTGCTGGATTGATTGCTGGTTTGTATTGTATTGCTGCTCATTTGGGCCTTACGCAGAACTCCGGAGACATCTGGCGACTCTTGAGTCTGAGGAGGGGAGATGGGGAGTGAGGAAAAAAGGATGGCAGGAGATGACGAGGGGAGATGGGAAGGGCGGGACGGTAGATGGGGAGGGGATCGACTCATTGACAAAAGGACGCGGGTGTTGCAGATGTTGCGAGGTTTTTTGTCGAGGGTCTTGTGGATCGAAGAGATCAAAGTGCACGATTGATAATTGAGGTCGAGGATCGAGGTTTTGACCGTGGATGTTGCAGGATCGATGTTTTCCATCGGGTTTTTCAGGATCGAGGACTCCGGCCCCTCGGGAGGATTGAGGTTCTTGAGTCCCTTTTCTGGGATGATGGGAAGCGAGGAAACATGAAGGGGATCTAGAGGGGAGAGAAGGACGCAGAATGAGGACGATGAGGAAGACGAGGAGGGCCAGACCGAACCCAGTCTGTATGTCGGCGGTGCTGCAATACATCCTCCCATCTCAAGGCCCCTCGTGATCCGTCTTTCTGAGCGGTACATATCGCTCAC